AGCTTCTGCTAAACATTTTCTTTCAATGTTTTTTAACCCATTGAGTATTGAGTGTCAGCACTCTCCCCCTGATGAGTAAATAGTCTAGTGTTAGACAGTAAAATAATCTGGCATTAGGCAGAGTAAAATAATAGACAACTGGTTGATCATTTGAGCATAGATAACTGGTTGACCAGTATAAATCCTTGCAATGCATCACACATTGCGATAGTATTGAATTTACTCCATTTCATTCTTTACAACAATGCTACCACTGGGCGCTTCTTCCATCTTTCAGTGTGTATGAATGTCTGTCAGGGCAAACAGGATTTATTGGTAAATTAAAACAGTTACAATCAGTTGGCTGATGTAATTCTATTGGTGGAAGTACACTATCCAGCTCATCATCTCGACTATCTGGGTCACATGGTGGGATTGCTTGGGATGTTGGTGATGTTGAAATGTCAAACTCCCAACAACATAACATTGTTATATTCTTTGTTTATACCTCCTTCCCGTAGATCATTAGGGTCGAAGAACTACATGATATGAAATAAAAATACGTTTTAATACTGCTGTATTTATACAACATAGGAGCATTTTTATATTTCTATTTTTATATAAAAATCATCTCACCTTAAAAACACAACTAGAGTGAATTTGTACCAGTGCAGGACTACCGCAATCAGCGAACAATTTCATCAATTTTTATCCCGTTAACCACAGCTGGACAAAGGACTATTCTTCGAACTATCCGTAAAACTATAAACATGAACCTCACGACATTCAAGTTCATCACACGGTAATTCTTCCGGAATCAAGATTAAAGGCTGTTTTGACACACAGTGAACACACAGAAGCTCGTGTCCACCCCAAAACGAAGCTTTCTTTCCATGCGTAGTGCAAAAATCAACCATTTTACAATTTATTTTCGATAAATCTTTTCTGAACTCTTAAAACCTCGAGGTGTAAACACAGCGAAAGCCGACCGAACAATGACGGCGCAGAGCGAGAAATCGATAATATGTAAAAAAACGCGCCTGACCGCGTTGCATGCCGGTATAGTCCTCACTCCTCTGTAGCCAGGCCTTATACTGCCCCCTGGTGAAAAAATCCTGCGTACGGCCCTGCTACAAAGTCTGTGAACATAAGCTCCCTTAAAAATTCACTGCCAGGGATATTATTGGTATAATACAAATATACAGAATGAAACTAAAAACCCTAATAGTTATTCTGCTATATACATATTTTCCATTAACTTCAAGTTAGCAATTCCGGTCCGTTCCGTTCTACTGAGCTTCGCTAAAATCTGTTTCGCTATTGACAGGAATTTCAGTCTATTTCTTTGAGTTTGAGATGAAACCAGTGCAAATTTTAGCACTGATATTTCCTCAAACTTGAATACTTGATTGCTTTCTTCCACATGCAGGCAGGCATCGCCGATGTGATTTTTGAGTTAAGTTACTTTAAAGCTAAAATATCCGCCTTCTTGAAACGAAATTGCTACCATAGCAACGAGAGTTGTTTAACTTTTGTGAAAAATTCAAACAATTATTTAGACGCTCTTTCACATCAGTAAGATACTTTTTGTTTCTCAAAAAAATACGCTAGATCAGTATAAATCGCAAATTTTCCATTTCTCTCATAACTGTGTTGAGCCACCTTAATGTCAATGCCCCCAAAAATTATTATGAATGCGATAAACTTCAACATGAAAATGAGGCTCGCAAGTGACATCTGCACTCATGAAACACCAGGCACTTGGCACAATAAACTCATCTGAAATAGTTTCTCTTTACATTGACATTGTGTACATATCAATAGGAACAAAACAATTTCATCCGCGCTTGTAATTGTATAGGAGCGAATGTTGTTTCAAAATTCACGAGGTTGTAACTGAAAAGGTATCAAGTGCATTATAAAACCTGGAATTTTTAAATGTAAAAACTTCCCAACTTTGATTTAAAATTCCTGTTAGAAAACGGCTCTTCAGAGACTTGGCGAATGCAATATTTTTCTGTGGGGCTGTGGGGCATGCCTCCAGACCTCCTCGGTTGAGCCCTTCTCCATAAATATAAACAATTTGCTTCAGACGGCGCTGGTCCTGTCACTCATATCATCTGCAGTCGAACGAACTTGTTTTCATTACATCCTCGTTCCCAGAGCTTCTTGGCTGTCTGCGGTGCCATAAGCCGAGAAGCCCTGGGAACGAGGATGATTTTCATTATTGACTATAAGCAAGTCACTATACACTTCTTAATCTTAGTACGATTATACGCAGCTGTTTGTAAATGATTTTCGAGCAATTTAGTCCACGACATATAATTGTTTACATTTAGACGCTTAGTCACTACAAATGTCAACCTCGTTCCCAAGCTAGGAGTGTAGAGGAAAGAGCCTGGGAACGAGGTTGACTTGTAGCAAGCTTGTCCACAATCTCGTTCCCCGAGCCTGCGATCCTCGGGAAGGAACCGAAGGCTCTGGGATAATCCATTTCAGGGAGGAATCTGATTGGCCATTGATATGGAATGCGTAGTTCAATCTTAGCAATGATTCTTGGCTTCCGGTAACGGATTATCCCAGAGCCTTCGATTCCTTCCCGAGGATCGCAGGCTCGGGGAACGAGATTGGCTTGTCCACAAGTTGTAAGAATGTGGTTTCAACAACCTTGCAGCGGGTTGACAACGAGCGCGGTTGACAATTTGTCAACAAGCTGGTTTTTGTTACAACTTGTGCGTTTTTACGCGTGTAAACAGCGAGTCAAGATTTTAAAATACTTGACAATGTTTCATGATGTACCCGCAGACACTTTGCATTGTTTATATTTATCTTTTGTATTTTCAGGACAGTACAGAAAGGTTGTGTTGGTTGCTTTGACAGTTATGTAGCAACAGCTAGGTATGTTTGTTTACGCTTTATTAGCAAAGCTGCCATGTTCAGATGATTAAAAACTTGGGCCGCTTGTTCGAAGCTGGGTTGGCGGTAACCCTGGGTTAAAATGTAAACCACTGTTTCGGGTTGTCCACTTCTGCACGTCCGTTTAAGACTTTAGAAAATGAAACATCCACACAAGATTTCTAGGAAAAGTATCCCCATGTTTACCAACAAACTGTCGGGAAGGTTGTCTTGAAAGATTTATTAACCGAGGATAAAGCTGACTTTTGAACAACTGACCCCAGAAGTTACTAGGAATGAGACACTGATAAACAGATTGGGGGGAGCATGATTCATTTGAAAATCCATGTTCTCTCTATATGGTCTTTACAATGCTATTTTAATGTGTGCACTAAAAGAGGCAATTGAGATTGGAAGCAATATGCTCTTTATACATACAGTGGAGTCAGGGCCGTCGCGAATAGCTTTAAGGAGGGCGGGGGTAGTGTATTCTGTTTGCCGACAAAACTGAAATTCGGCAACCACCTTTGTACATTTTCCGAAGTATGTGTTGACGGGGAGAGGGCCGGGGGGGAGGAAATGAAATTTTCTTAGCCGAAAGATATAGAAATCGTCGACAAATTCTTAATTTCGTTGCAACTTGTTTTCGGGGTGTCACACCCGCAACACCCCTAAGCAACGGCCATGAGTAGAACCCAGGTAACTCGAACTCGAAGGGAAGCAAAATTGTTCGAGTTAGCGGGGGTTCGAGTTAACGAGATCAGTGTTGAATTTCGTTTATTATGTTAATAAGGTATACTCGTTTGAATTATGGTCGGGGCGGGCAATAATTTTTCATTGTTTACACTGAATCATATATCATGTCAAGTTATTTTGACTTTCATTTTACTTAAGTGTCCTCCATTGCACATCCACCAACTTAGATATCTGGCAGAGAAACTTGCTATCAGGTATGTTTTTACATTTGTTATCAGACATACAATAGATCTGGTATCTTTTAATTGATTGAATGTTCGCTTTTTCCTGCTTTTTTTTTTAATCGATATGTCCAGTATAATGCCGCGATCTCATACTCAGAGCATGCCCGTTCGCAGGTTAGGTGGCCAGCACAGCTCTGGAAAAATGGTTTGCTCGACACGATATATCCGAGCAGGAACAAAGCGTGTATTATTCCACCGTAAATGCGTGAATGAAAGTACGAAACAAAAGTCCAAGTAGGGACGAAATTTCTAAGATTAAGCAGGAACATTTTAACCCGAGTGTTTTTAGAGAGCGTGTATAGAACATATGTATATCTACTATGGATTTATCAATTAAACAGTAAAATTTTAGCTCCTTTACCACCAAATCAAACACTGTAGAACTGAAAAGAAGCAGAAACACACGAAACAATAAACCCCATCGATATTGCAAAAAATATACTACCTATATATAAATCCACTCCAACTTCAACCGTGCTGTTATATTATGGAACCTGTTTTGTAATTCAGCTCTACGTATAGTCCTTTCTCTAATCCAACTTCATTTAAAAGACACGTATAAACAATGTATACTAACATACTATAAATACGATGACCAAAATATGATTTGTATTTGGTCAATAAACAAAGTGCATTAATTGGTACTTCAAATACAAATATATTTCAAATTTAACATAGTTGATTGTCATGCAGTCGCAGTAAAATGTGCTCAATTCAACATTTCGAACCAGACCAATTTTTTTAGTCCCATACTATAATACACTTGTTGGTTTCAAACATGACATCAGCGACATTATTTTAGTAATATTACTGAATCACATCACTTACAGATTTCTAACAATATGTTGAAACAAATAAGAAGTTTTGCTGGAGTCCAAAGAGCTCTAGCATAAATGCATAATGTAATTTTCGCCTGCGCTATTTTGACAGTGCCGCAGTCATGCAGGATTTCCAGCTGTCAAGGTGGGTCGAAGCAATAGTACCCTGCGCTAGTTCAAATATATATAGTTTATTTGTGGTGTTACTCTGAGTGCATATCCACACCGGGCGAGCTTGAAAAATATGCCCGGCCACGGTGGGATTCGAACCTACGACCTTTGGAATACTAGCCCAATGCTCTTCCAACTGAGCTACGCGGTCAGGACGGTTCGAGTAAGTGATATTTCAGAACAGAATCTAGTTCCTTCAATACAAATGTATTCTAGTAATATGAATTTTTTCTGTGTTGGTGTAGTGTACTCAGGTGAATATGATATTTGTGGTGTTATACTCTGAGTGCATATCCACACCGGGCGAGCTTGAAAAATATGCCCGGCCACGGTGGGATTCGAACCTACGAACCTTGGAATACTAGCCCAATGCTCTTCCAACTGAGCTACGCGGTCAGGACGGTTCGAGTAAGTGATATTTCAGAACAGAATCTAGTTCCTTCAATACCAATGTATTCTAGTAATATGAATTTTTTCTGTGTTGGTGTAGTGTACTCAGGTGAATATGATATTTGTGGTGTTACTCTGAGTGCATATCCACACCGGGCGAGCTTGAAAAATATGCCCGGCCACGGTGGGATTCGAACCTACGACCTTTGGAATACGTGGCCGGGCATATTTTTCAAGCTCGCCCGGTGTGGATATGCACTCTGAGTAACACCACAAATATCATATTCACCTGAGTACACTACACCAACACAGAAAAAATATATATAGTTTGTTTATAATGTGAAAATGGATCTGAATTCTCATGCTATCCATGCATAATATAGTACAATTTAGAGTAAATATAAAGTGTCATTTTCAGCATTTTGGGCTTTATTTTAATCTGTTGAATCCAGAACATTTAAAACATTGGGAGATATTAGTAACGTTTCCATTACAAGAAATGAAAATATATTCCACATGCTTGTACTTGATTGTCAGAAATTTTCCAAGGGGGAACTGAATTTTTCCAATAATGTGAACAGCACTATACTGTTTTGTTGACAAGCCGAGACAATTTTTTACCCGCGAGAATTGCTTTCCCCGGACATTTGAAAACCACCAATTAAAATCTTTCATCGAAATTTTCAAAAATGAACGAAGAATACTTGCAACAATAACTTTAATAATCAAACGACTTCACGGCACGCTAGTCATAGCACGTTTCAACTCCTGCATACAAAGTGTAAGATATTCATGTTCAGCTGTATATTAGAAATAAACCACATTAATCGTTTTCACATGACACTTTGTGCATTTCACATTCCCCATATTTTGATCAAATTTATATCACGCCATCTTTTCCATATGCCTCATAGTTTAAAACATGCCTGGATGACTTACATGTCGTTTGATCAGGGCGTAAGACAAGATTACAAACTCGATTATTACTTGACGTTTTTAGCATACTACTAACTTGACGTTTTTAGCATACTACTAACTTGAAGTTTAATATTAGCATACTACTAACTTGAAGTTTAATATTAGCATACTTCTCACTTCCTCCTCTTCCGATCTATCCAGCGTAAAAGTATTAGCCAATTAATTACGTTCTTTTGGTTGGACAACTAATGATTTAAGATTTTCGACAAAAGCTGTGTTTATCCTGGAAGTTTGTTCTGACGTTGGCGCATGTTTTTTGCTTCGCTGCATGATTGGCTGATAAATTTGATCAAGAAAATAGCGTAAATATGTCTATAGGACATGGCTAGAAAAATAAAACTTTGGGATTAAATTCAGCGACAGATTTCTCCAAAATAAGTGCTTTCTCGTGTCAACAATATTTCTTCAGTTTCATCTCTCGTGCCCGTTCCACTACAGTTACGCCTCGTGTTTATTTTGCGCATGCAAAACATGGGCATGTCTAACTTGGGCTGTTCTTAGTTCATTAATTAAGTACTGGAAACGTTTCTTTCCAGAAATTACGGGCTGATACGGATTTACACAAAGAGTTTTCGTGGTGTTTATTTTGCACTTGCAAAACATGGGCATGTCTAATTTCTGCTTTTCTTAGTTGATTAGCTATTGGAAACGGTTCTTTCCAGAAATTACGGGCTGATGTTAAACCTATAAGCTATATAAGGCCCTGTTCACATGAACCCGGGACAGTGTTATGTCTCGGGGCAAGCAATTGTCGCGGGACAAAAATTGTCTCGGCTCCTTAGTAAAAGAATAGTGCTGTTCACATGATATTTTACTTGTCCCGGGACAAGAATTGACCCGAGTGCCTCGCCTCTGTAGACAGGGACACTCGCCTAGCCGGGACAACTTTTCCTCATGTGAACACTTTGCCCCGGGGCAACTTTGTCCCGGGATAATTGAATTTTTGGTAAAACGATCAAAATCGCGGCTAAAATTACATTTAGAGCACGTTGGACTCCACAAAACTTGTTATTTGATTGAAGATATCATTAGAAATCTATAAGTGATGATTCTAATAATATTAAAATAAAATTGTCGCTAATATCTTGTTTGAAACCAAGAAGTGTAGTATGTTACTCAAAGAATTTGATCTGGTCAATCAGAAACAATGAATTGAGGACATTTTATTACGGCTGATAATCAACTACGTTCTATTTGTAAATATCATAACATAAAATACGACTTGCGTTTATCAGAATGTTTTTTATTTAGCAATATTTCACCGTTTCACGTTGGCGGGAATATTTTATGATTCCCGCGTAATGTATTTATAGGCATGACCCGCGCTAGCTTTGTTCATGTGAACAGAAGATATCAGTACCCCGGGTCAATGACTTGTCGCGGGGCAGTTGTTTATCCCGGGATCATGTGAACAGGGCCTAAGTTACTCAAGAAATGTAAATTAGGTGAAGCTATTGGGTATACTAATAAACATGCATGTGCTAAGCTGGAATTAAATTGTAAACATTGCAATTCAGACATTTGTTTAATTAATCTTCGTACTTTGTGTCGATATTAGGACGAAGTCAAGCGTCTTGCAGCACAATATTGGTCAATATTGAACGTTGAAATGTAAATTGTAAACATTGCAATCTCAATTCAGCTTGGTTCAATTAAAATCATGATTTGGTAAACATTATACATGCAGCTTGAATTGTTAGTCAAGAATTATGTTGCATTATTATAATTACAATACAGGTGCAGAACGGAACGTTTTAGAAACAGTCCTATAGTTTTCTCAATTGATTCATCAATAATAAATCACTTAGCGGCTGTGAAGGAGTCGCCTTTAAGAGTAGGTAACTTGGTACTTATTTTTTAAAGTTTTTATAGCATAATATTGTAAAACTTTCTATTGTATGAGTATTGATATACCTTTGATGGTAAAATGCATTTATTCTCTATTTTATCCTTTATAATACGCATTTCAATTTAGCTAGTTAAGGAGCTATTCAATGTGTAAATCAGTATAATTTATTAAACATTAAACACAAATTGCGACGAATCCCAAATACTGTATAATTTCAATACATGTAAGTGTAAAATAGATTAATCAATCTTCAGTTTATCACAACTGAAATGTATAAGATTAAAGTCGGCATCGCTTTGGAGAATGCCACTCTCACAGCAAAAGGAAACCGAATTTAACATGAATATCCAGTGGCGCCGTGGGACCCATGTTTTTTTTTGGGTTTTTTTTTTGGGGGGGGGGGGCAAGGGCAAGGGCAGTATTTTTCCGACAAACCGAAAATTTTTTCCGACAAACCAACAACATTGACAATTTTCCAACGGGTCTCAACGGGTCTCAACAGGTCTCCTCAACGACGGGTCTCAACAGGTCTCCCCCTCCCCCCGGCCACAGCGCCACTGTGAATATCTGATACTTTGGCTTGCGAGTTTATAATTTATTAAACATTAAACACAAATTGCGACGAATCCCAAATACTGTATAATTTCAATACATGTAAGTGTAAAATAGATTAATCAATCTTCAGTTTATCACAACTGAAATGTATAAGATTAAAGTCGGCATCGCTTTGGAGAATGCCACTCTCACAGCAAAAGGAAACCGAATTTAACATGAATATCCAGTGGCGCCGTGGGACACATGTTTTTTGTTTTTTGTGGGCAAGGGCAGTATTTGTCCGACAAACCGAAAATTTTTTCCGACAAACCAACAACATTGACAACTTTCCAACGGGTCTCAACGGGTCTCAACAGGTCTCCTCAACGACGGGTCTCAACAGGTCTCCCCCTCCCCCCGGCCACAGCGCCACTGTGAATATCTGATACTTTGGCTTGCGAGTTACCTCTACATATAATTGATCATAGTCAAAATTAGCTTAATTAAGTTTCAATATGGTCAATGAATTGAATACCATGTCAGTCGTTAAGCTGTTTGTAAATTGTATTTTTACTTATTTTAAACCAAACATTATACAATGTGAAGGTGGCTTTATTTACAATTAATGTGCCAGAATTGTATGAAAAATCAGCGATTTAAAAAGCAGGCGAAAACTTTGACCGGTTCTCCATGCATTAATTTGAAGGAAAATTTTAATTGAAAGCTACTAACAAGGAAGTTAGGGAACTGATATATTTGTCAATAATTCATCATTAACCTAGCAATCGAACTCATGCGTTCAGAGTCATAAATGTTGGCTTTTATTGAACCGCAAGGAATTAATTGCGTGTGGCTGGTAGCCTATACAGTTGGTTCGCGGGCTTTGTCCTAAATTCATAAAGTAACCTTAGTATGCCCCTATTTCTGTAATTTTATATATATATATATATATATATATATATATATATATATATATATATATATATATATATATATATATATATATTAGTGTATGTATGGGCGAAAACTTTAAAATACTAAATAAATTAATAAACTGCAAGTAAAACTCGGCAACCCGTGGTAATAGCTCAACAATTCATGCAAAGTACTATAGGTATAAGCTTTCCTGAATTTGTTTTTTAAATGTTTTTTAAACCTAATTCCAACGACTTAAAATCCTGTTTGTGCTTTTCCTCATTTTGGGGACAAGCCGATAAATGCCGAGTAACTCGATTAAATTAATTCTGCCCGTATGAATAGACTAAGTTAGTTTGTCTTACCCACTGAAATGAATATAACTGGAACGCTACTTCCAATCCATCCTCTTACCCAGAGCCATTACTTTTTTCACTCGGTTACTCGTTGAAAATTAGGCTCTGGGTTAGACGACTAAAGGGAGAGATCTGATTGGCTTCTCAGAGAACTGCTATTTCCCAGAAGTTGAGCAGTTTTCGCTAGGCAAAATTATTCTATCAAAATATGTCAACAAATTAAAATAGTTCGTTTCTTCGTAATACTTCTCTCTTCGAAAATTGTTATGGGTGCTAAAGCGTCCCAGTTCAAGAGTATGCATGCGCTTTAGAAACTACTGCAAGTTTTCTTGCACTTCCGGTTCCCGTGTATCCTAGGGCCTATAAAAGTCGCGCGCGGCTGAGTACGAGAATGATCGGAAATTTGGTTATCTTTCCATGTCATGCAA